CTCAATCTTTTTGATATGAAGCAGTCATCTGAGGGCATTCTAGTAGCAAAACTATTTTTAGCTGTCAACTAGATAGTTGACTTCCTGTTCATTTCAATTCCCAGTTCAGAGCACATTGTGTATGTGGCAGTCAGTCTCTGGAAGTGCCTGTGAGATCAAATATTGCTGAAAAAAAACAAATTTGCGTAGAGAGGACTTCAGGAAATCTTGAGACAGCATAGAATGAAGAGGATGCAAGAAAATTAAAGATTATTTCACAAGATTCATTACATTTGTTTTTCTGTGTTCTTGTCTCGTGTTTTCTTTCATCCCACTATTTTCTCTGGCTTCCCCTAGGCAGATCTCCAAGTGGAACTCTCTGTTTATATGGTACAGATTTAAGCAGACTGCTTGTCACTGGCTGGGACAGGGAGAAGCTAGTTTTCTTTCCCTTCTTCCCCTCCCAAGTGTCAAAACTTCCTTTCTTACTCTGTCTCCTGTAGGGCTCCCAGGCTGTACTAATGCCTCATTTCCTAATATCCCTTCTCCTCTCCTTTCATCCTCACTTAGGATGGCCAGACTTAGCAAATATAAATACAGGATGTCTGTTAAATGTGAATTGCAGGGCAACAATGTAGCAGTACATCCCTGCAATATTTGAGACATACTTCTAAAAATTAATTCAAATTTTCTGGGAGTCCTGCCATTTTATCTGGCAATCTTGCTCCTTCCTTGTGGGCCCTGGGAGCTGCCTAGTCTCTTAGCTGGAATTCTATGTGCTTATGTCTCAGACTTGAAACAATGCTCAGTCCTGAATCCCACTATTCCATCAGGGGTGTCTGTTCCCATACTGCCAGTCATCCCCACAAAAACACCCTTAGGTGCTTTTTAGTCTGTGAATTCTGAATTGATGAAGGACAGATAAAGATATCAGATTCAGGCTCCATTTAGCTTCTCCCCAACTGCCCCAATGATTTAGATTTTTAAAAAAATTTTTATTAGCAAATGAAGATGCCCTATGGTGGGCCAGAATTTGGATGCTTATATAATACGCTCTTCCTATCAGGAGCTAGGTACAGTGGTGAGTCTTTAGTTTCAGCTACTCCAGAGGCTGAGGCAGAAGAATCTATTGAGTCCAGGAGTTTGAGATCAGCCTGAAAAACACAGCAAAAACTTGCCTCAAAAAAAGTGAAGCTATCAGGAAAGAAGAAAAGTAATGCAAACACTCATGATATATATATATATATTTTTTGGTACCCGGGATTGAACTTGGGTCCCTGCGCTTGCGCAGCAGGTGGCGAAACCGCTGAGCTAAATCCCCGGCCCTACTCCTGATATTTTTATAGTACCCAAGGACAGTTATAACAAGTGAAAAATCTGTTGGAGTTAGAGCAAGGAAGCAATAACTGTATAAAATTGCAGAGAAAAACTTAGTATAAAGAATAAGGCACTTAGGGCCAGGGATTTAGCTCAGTGGTTCCGGCGCCTGCCTTGCAAGCGCAAGGTCCTGAGTTTGATCCCCTGTACCAAAAAAAAAAAGAGAGAATAAGGCACCTCAGGGCCAGGGATTTAGCTCAGTGGTTCCACCACCTGGCTCGCAAGTGTAAGGACCCAAATTCGATCCCAGGTACCAAAAAAAAAAAA